CTGCAGTGGCGGCGTCCATTTGGCTCCTTGATGTTTTCAGGAAGGAGTGCACAACCAGTGGCCAGGAAAGGCCTAAATTACCAGTTGAATTGCAAGCTAAGGGGAGTAGGCCTAACTTAAATGAAAGGGAGAACCACATCTGCAGGCTTGAGTGAGGTTTATAGTTAAACCTGCAGTTATGGTCAAGCCAGGGTTCTGGTTAACGGGGCATGTGTGTCGCCTCCCAGCACGGTGCTAATGAGCACTCTCTCAGGCTTCGTTCACAAAGTCAAGAAAGTTCAAGTTATTTTATTTTTCACCCGGGAACCTTTTCACTTCACAGAGGACTGGTGAATTCCTCATAGTTCTATCTGTCTCTCCAAACTACCCACACAAGTCTTTAAACACTGTCGTTCACATGACCATTCTTTACAGTACTATCTGAACGTTAAGATAACTTTATGGGTAAGCCAGTGTCTGTCTATTCACATGAAACCATGAATTCAAATCAGCTTGCACTCTTTTTGCTTTGAGAAATCATATCTAGATTTAAGCCTAACTCTTTTCTTTTTTCTTTTTTATGTACACATTTTGTACTTGGTGACTTAATTCAACATGTGAGAGCCAGGTGGGAATTTCCTGCTTGGTGGTGGGACTACTGTTGAACTATCATGAGGCTACGGTGGAAGAAAGGCCTTCTGTCTCAGTCGGCTGAACATGGAGGAAGTGGCGAGAGCCCCGCATGCATGGGCCACATGACTCACAAACGCACACTGTTCTGCCAGCCCTGGGCCTGGCGGCACGCCACAAGCCGCACGTTGTTGTTTGCCTTGTCCTGTTTGACCACTCTGCTGCAGAGCAAAGCGACACCCTCCTTGAGCCCTCGCTAGACTTACAGTCCAAATCACTTGGAGTGTCTGACTTTGCTTCGTTCATGCCCATTGCTGGGATTGATAGATTTGGCATATTTGCTTGAATTGTTACTGGGATGTTCACTTTAGTGTTGCTATATTTGATTCCCATTTAGATTCTGATTTGAACTTTGCTGTTTGCCCTTCTGGCACTCAGATTAAGTTTAGCAAAAATGACTGGATTCTACTGTTAGCCTTGGAGTTTCTTTGTACAACAGGGTTTTTTCTGGATCAAAAAGGGACTTAGGTGGTGGGCGCGGTCAGCCCCAATCTTGGTGGTGAAGAGACATTTTTAGCATTTTTAAGCCACTTTCCTGCAATTCTACACATTTTCCATGGAGCTGAGAACTTTTTGCAGTTTTAAAGCAAATTTTGTGCAATTCTACAAATGTTGACATTGCTAATGCTGTTCTTTTGCTCAAACATAATAAAATCAATACTGCAAAAAAAAAATACATGTTCAGTTCTCCCTGACACAAACAGTTATTTAGGTGATTGTTAGTTCTGAAAGATTATATTATTAAGATATGTCCGTTTATCTTTCTACATACACTGAAAGTGTTTTTCATTTTTACATTTTAGTCATTTAGCAGACGCTCTTATCCAGAGCGACTTACAGTTAGTGAGTGCATATATTTTTCATACTGGCCCCCCATGGGAAACGAACCCACAACCCTGGCGTTGCAAGCGCCATGCTCTACCAACTGAGCTACAGGGGACTACATCCCTAAAATTTATTTAAAAAATATATATATATATACAGTACCAGTCAAAAGTTTAGACACACCTACTCATTCAAGGATTTTTCTTTATTTGTACAATTTTTTTACATTGTAGAATAATAGTGAAGACATCAAAACTATGAAATGACACATGGAATCATGTAGTAACCAAAAGAGTGTTAAACAATTCAAAATATATTTTATATTTGAGATTCTTCAAATAGCCACCCTTTGCCTTGAAGACATCTGATGCAGCATTCCATCACTCTCCTTCTTGGTAAAATAGCCCTTACACAGCCTGGAGGTGTGTTGGATTATTGTCCTGTTGAAAAACAAATGATCATCCCATTAAGCCCAAACCAGATGGGATGGCGTATCGCTGCAGAATGCTATGGTAGCCATGCTGGTTAAGTGTGCCTTGAATTCTAAATGAATCACAGACAGTGTCACCAGCAAAGCACCATCCCACCACCTCCTCCATGCTTCACGGTGGGAACTACACATGCGGAGATCATCCATTCACCCACACCGCGTCTCACAAAGACACGGCAGTTTGAACCAAAAATCTCAAGTTGGACTCCAAAGGACACATTTCCACCGGTCTAATGTCCATTGCTCGTGTTTCTTGGCCCAAGCAGGTCTCTTCTTCTTATTGGTGTCCTTTAGTATTGGTTTCTTTGTAGCAATTTGACCATGAAGGCCTGACTCACACAGTCCCCTCTGAACAGTTGATGTTGAGATGTCTGTTACTTGAACTCTGTGAAGCATTTATTTGGACTGTAATTTCTGAGGCTGGTAACTCGAATGAACTTATCCTCTGCAGCAGAGGTAACTCCGGGTCTTCCATTCCAATGGCGGTCCTCATGAGAGCCAGTTCCATCATAGCGTTTGATGGTTTTTGCGACTGTTCTTGACATTTTCAGTAATGATGGACTGTCGTTTCTCTTTGCTTATTTGAGCTGTTCTTGCCATAATATGGACTTGGTCTTTTACCAAATAGGGCTATCTTCTGTTTACCCCCCCCCCCCACAACTGATTGGCTCAAACACATTAAGAAGGAAAGAAATTCCACAGGCACACCTGTTAATTGAAATGCATTCCAGGTGACTACCTCATGAAGCTGGTTGAGAGGATGCCAAGAGTGTGCAAAGCTGTCATCAAGGCAAAGAGTGGCTACTTTGAAGAGTCTGAAATATATTTTGATTTTAAAAAATGTTGGTTACTACATGATTCCATATTCATAACCGGAAAATATATTCCTCATTGAACTGTTGTATTTGTCATGGCCCATGACAATTAGGCCAGTCTTTGCATGTGAATCTAATGAATTTAAAAGGTAGAACATTTTGAGGTTCAAGTTATAGGGCAGAGCCAAGTGCCTATAATAATATGCTTTAACAGAAAAACATGCATGACAGACACGACTCAAGCATGTCATGTCCAGGAGCAATAACTGATTTTTACTGCCTTGATCTGTAAGATCAATTTCTCAGCCGGGGGCTCTGAAATGCCATGTTGGGAACACAAGAACTGACCATTGGGTCAACCCTTTCCCCACCACTGCTCTCTGTTTACCATAGAGGGGGGGGGGGGTGTAGTCTACTCATATTAATGCCCTTTAGCTTATGCAATGCAGCTGCTTTCGCAGACTTGAGATGATATCGTACACCTGCTCAATACGGGTACAGTGTACTACCAGTTCCATAACTCAGTGCCCATCCGCGCATCGTCTGTACAAACTGATATACTCATCTCAACGGCAGCCTCTTATCAGAAGGCTGGGTGTTTCGTTTGCTACTAGGAAGTGTATTTTAGGTGTCAGGATTCTTTCAGGAATGGCAACGGTAAAAGCTTTTTGCGATAAACCCTCGCACCCCCGTGTGACCATAGCAGTCGATTATAAATGTTATCCGGTGATTTTTAAGTGGACAAACAAAGGTAGAAATCAAGTGGATAGGGAGCTACTGTTGGTCCAAGCTCATACAATGTGTGCACAGGTAGAATAGTGTGTGCAGACATGACGTAATGGACTGTGGTTTTTCACCTCTTGCCTAGTTGGCGGCATTACAGTACAGAGTTGACTAGATGTTTAAACTGTATTTTAGTCGTTATCTAGTTGCCAAAGCAAACAATTTGCCTTTTGCTATGCAAATTAAGTGATCTCAATTTCAAATGTCATTGAATTGATGTGATCAGCAAAAGGGCCTGATAATGCAGAAGACCTCATCAGCTGATAGGCAAATCTGTTTTTGTTGCACACTAACACCAAGTCTTGACGACTCGCTTGATCATGCCAATAATGTTATTTAGCGTATGTAATTACCCTGAAGATATGTAAACCACACACACGCAAAAAACGTGACCTATTGCATTTGACACTTTTACAGCCCTTTTGGTAACCTCCTGTGTTATAGGAGTCTGTTATGTGGATTTACTGAAAGGAGTTAATTTAAGACTGCTGGCCATTGCATAAGGGTTTATGCTGTGGAATCTGACTGGTCAGGAGGTGTTAAGCATGCTGACCCTTGGATCAGACTGACTGTTAAGCATCTGAGTGGGAGGATGAGATGGCTATGAGTCACCACGGCCCACAGCGCCACTCATCTCTCAATAGTCCAAAGTAGCTACCTCTCCTTGTATCCTCTTGGAAATGTAGATGCCATTGCCATATGGGCAATGACAATGTTTTTTTATTTCATTCACTTACATTAGGACCCTAATTGTGTCAAATAAAACACAGTGCATTTAACCTATTGGCCTTACACTGAAATTGGATGAACCTATGGGGTTAATTTGACCTCGTGCCCCTTAAAGGAGGTGTAATTTTTAACAGACACCATTTTGTTTCTGTATACGACCTCCACAAAGAGGACAAGCCAACCATTAACATGCTCATTGTACTGGTTGCTTTATAGCCATTTCCCTTCAGGCATTCTGAAGTCGACTGCCATTCAGCAAAACAGTGTCATTTGAAGCCATTTCATGCTGTGTTGAGAATAGAGGTTGGCGTTATTCCTTTGGTGAGAATAGAGGCTGGTATTATTCCCCCACCTCCCACTGTTGGCTGTTTCCAAGGTAACGCCAGTTGACACAATCTTGGAGGATGACGAAGTGTGAGGGACAGTGCCGCTTTGAACCCAGCCATCTTATTTTAATTTTTTTTAAGCCCACTGTCTGTGTGCTGCTGCTCTTCCAACCCTTCCACGTTTTGAAATGCAGCCATAAATGCTAGAAAGACCTTTACACCCTTTTGACTGCCTGCCATTGCCCCCGGGTCCAGAGCAGAGGGCAAAAAGCACACTCTTTATTTTTCACAAACGCTGCTTGTGTTCGGACCGGCACTCTCTGTAGTAACTGAAGAAGCAGGTTAGGACAAGCTTGGCTGGTCATGGAGAGGGGAAAGAGCCAGTGGTACAACCAGGATGCTGCAGACCCTCCTCGGGCAAGGGATGGGGCGAGGTAGGTCAAGTGTGGCTCTCTACTGCCTATTCAGTGCATTGTAGCCTATTTTGTAGTGATTAGGGTATAATCCCAAGTGTGATTGAATGTTGTCAATACTGATCCATTTATGTGAGTATGACTTCAACAGATGTCCTCAATGTATCGACTGCTGATTTAGCCTGCTATTGACTCCAACCAGGATTAGTCATCAAGGTCTCCATGTCTAACCCCATTACCAGAGGGAGTCAGTGGGACCATCTATAGATCACGGCCTCAATGTCTCATGACCATGTTTGTCTGCGAGGCTTATCAAACAGACAATCTATTATCCTACGTTTGTCAGGCTCACCACCACCACCATCGTTTTACTGTCTCCTAAGAGATTGTATAGGCTTATATTACGGATGTGCTGGTATTGTTTTCTTTGTGAAAATAATTGGGGCACTGACTTCCTTGTTTGTGAAGGTGGGGAGACTGCTACAAAGGGGCCGGACCTTGGTCCAATACTACGAGTTTGTACAAAGGATGGGACAAGTGCAAACTTGGTCTCTTTCAATGGAGAGAAACATTCCCATAGTATAGAAAGTTGTAGGCCTATTGCTTAGTTGCCATGATTGTCAGATATTCACATGTCTATACAATACATTCCAGCTGAGTAATATCGGCTGACAGTGTTAGCAATAAGGTGACAATGCTGGATGTAATCTGTACTGGCACAGACCTCAATGGCAATTGGCCTTGAACAGTGTTATATGATAATGTAAATTACTTCAGCAGACTACAATTGCCCTTAACCCTCCCGTTGTCCTAGGGTCAAAATTACCCGCCACTGTGTTGAACCAACTTTATTAAATTTTTATATTTTTGGGATCATTTGTGAGAAGGAGGCAGTGATACTTTCTCTAAAGTCTCACTGCCTCCTTCTCACAAATGATCCCAAAAATATAAAAATTAAATAAAGTTGGTTCAACACAGTGGCGGGTCATTTTGACCCTAGGACAACGGGACTCTAGCATGCAACAAATTGGTTGCATGCAGGTTGCTTGAATTTGAGTTATTCCCATGCGTTTCATTGGCAGTTGCATTTAAAAAATGTGATTCTGTGATTTGGGCCTCATTGGCCCCATGTCACATGTACAGTTGGCTACAGTACAGTGGACTCGGTGAGATGCCAAGCGATGCTCAAAGCACACACTAATAAATGTGTGCATATCCGTGTGCTACGTGGCAGGGCCTGCGACTTCTACCGTCAGTCTAAGCATACACATTCCGTCCCCATGTTTGCTTTGAGACACGGCCCATGCGTCCTCTCTTCTGTAACACACAGACTGGGCCTGTTCTCAGATTCTCATTCTCCGACTTTTCATTAAAGAAAAGGACAATTGTATGATCTATCTGTCAAAAACATGAGGTGGAACCCAATGCCAGGCGTATTATGAAAGGAATGTAAATTCAATGTAGAGTAAAATCTGGTCAGATGCAGACGACTGTTAACATTTACAGACTTGGTCAGGCTATAGGTCTGTCTATAAAGACACACAGTAGGTCAGTTTTCCACAAAGTAGTCCCAGGCCTAATGGTCTGCAGACTAACATGTAAAGGAAGGGATGAAATTTCACAGGGCTTTGAATAGAGCTCCGGCTACCCTGCTTCCATTGTTTTACACTCCTATATCAGCCCCACCCCAGGCTTAGTCATGTGAGTATGACTGGGACCTGTGCAAAGCTGTCATCAAGGCAAAGGGTGGCTATTTTAAAGAATCTCAAATATAAAATATATTCTGATTTTTGTTTAACACTTTTTTTTTTTTTTGTTACTACAAGATTCCATATGTGTTATTTCATACTTTTGATGTCTTCACTATTATTCGACAATGTAGAAAATAGTCAAAATAAACCAAAACCCTTGAATGAGTAGGTGTTCTAAAACTTTGGACGGGTAGTGTATGTTCTCACTTTTAATGCCTGTATGTAACATGCTCTATACCCAGACACTCGGTAGCCTAAAGAGAAACCATAAACCGTTTTAACCTGGCCTCCTGAAACTGTAAAGTGTTTTATTATTGGAACATTTTGCCAACCGAAGTGAGAGAATGGCAGCCGGTCAACTTCACTTAAATTTCTCAATCGTCATTGACTGATGTTTTAGACAACGCCTTATTTCTGGAGAGACTTGGCCTATCTGTAGTCTGGCTTTTTACATTTACATTTTAGTCATTTAGCAGACGCTCTTATCCAGAACGACTTACAGTTAGTTAGTGCATACATTATTAATTTTTTTCATACCCCCTGTGGGAATCGAACCCACAACCCTGGCGTTGCAAACGCCATGCTCTATCAACTGAGCTACATCCCTGCCGGCCATTCCCTCCCCTACCCTGGACGACGCTGGGCCAATTGCGCGCCGCCCCATGGGTCTCCTGGTCGCGGCCGGCTACGACAGAGCCTGCATTCGAACCAGGATCTCTAGTGGCACAGCTAGCACTGCGATGCAGTGCCTTAGACCACTGCGCCACTCGGGATACTTTTTATGGCGGTTTTGGAGCAGTGGCTTCTTCCTTGCTTCTTCCTTCCTAACCTTTCAGGTTATGTCGATATAGGACTCGTTTTACTGTGGATATAGATACTTTTGTACCTGTTTCCTCCAGCATCTTCACAAGGTCCTTTGCTGTTGTTCTGGGATTGATTTGCACTTTTTGCACCAAAGTACGTTCATCTCTAGGAGACAGAACGCATCTCCTTTCTGAGCGGTATGACAGCTGCGTGGTCCCATGGTGTTTATACTCGCGTACTATTGTTTGTACAGATGAACGTGGTACCTTCAGGCGTTTGGAAATTGCTCCCAAGGATGAACCATACTTGTGGAGGTCTACCATTTTCTTTCTGAGGTCTTGGTTGATTTCTTTTGATTTTCTCATGATGTCAAGCAAAGAGGCACTGAGTTTGAAGGTAGGCCTTGAAATACATCCACAGGTACACCTCCAATTGACTCAAATTATGCCAATTAGCCTATCAGAAGCTTCTAAAGCCATGACATTTTCTGGAATTTTCCAAGCTGTTTAAAGGCACAGTGAACTTCGTGTATGTAAACTTCTAACCCACTGGAATTGTGATACAGTGAAATAATCTGTCTGTAAACAATTGTTGGAAAAATTACTTGTGTCATGCACAAAGTAGATGTCCTAACCGACGTGCCAAAACTATAGTTTGTTAACAAGAAATTTGTGGAGTGGTTGAAAAACAAACAAGTTTTAATGACTCCAACCAAAGTATATGTAAACTTCGGACTTCAACTGTATATCATGTAAAGGTTACTACAAGCTCTACTCCATTGAGCTATGTGTATGCGTGCACGTGGGTGGAGTGGGGGTTTTGGAGTAGCAGACCCCATTTGATATCCTTGCCAGTCTCACTCCCATTCACAAGTATTTTCTTGTCTTAATTTTGTGAAAACAAGGAAGAGTCTCCTTCCCTTGCTAGTAGTGGCTAGCTGGCTTTAGCCTAACTAAAAACATAGCAAGCTAGCTAGCCTTTTTAGCTTCCTACATCTCCATGTGTAATAATCAGATAAAATATTTTTAAAATATCTCTGGCAAATATTCTTATACTTGCCGGCATAACGTATAACATTATCCCAGTTTGATATGCTGCTTGCGTATTAATTCCCATATCAGCTAAAAATAGAAAGTCATGTTTTGGACACAGAGAAAAAGGCACATGGCTAGCTAGTTGGCTACATAAGGTTCTACCATTTCACAATAGCCTGTAATAACTAGTTATGACTTTTAAACAATACCTTTTTGGGTGGATTCTTGGGTTTTCTTGTCTTCTCATTTGTTGTGAACGGAAAATAACGGTCTTGTTTTCCCTTGCTAGCAAGTTGGCTAAACACTGCAAGCTAGCTAGCCTTTTAGCTTCCCACAGCTCCATGTGAAAAAATCAGATTTATAATTGAATAATATTCCCTGGCAATGTTATCCCAGTTTGATATGCTGCTTGAATGTTTTCACTCCCATATCAGCTGGAGAAAAAGCACATCCCGCAGCTGTTTTTACCAGTCTGGAATCATTATTACAACTAAACAAAGTAAACTTTTGGGCGACTCTAAGGCTACAATATTTGGTTTATTGGTTGAACAGTCGCTGAGATTCTATTTGCTTATCAATGCAAAATAGGCTACATTGACGCATAGCCTATATATCAGATCAAGGAACCAAGCAAGATTCCTTGCCTACACAACACTGCCCCCACGGCTACGGAAGAGATGATACGGCACGTTACAATTTTCATGTGACACGGGAGTACGTCAAATGTCGGAGCGCACGTGAGCCTTTCCTATTTTGTTCTATATTGTTCCTCAATCAAGTGGAGAGGCTGACATCACTGATTCCCATCAGCCCAACTCCTTGAATGCCCTACTACTTTAAGTTTTCAGTTGTCTAAAAAAAACAATATTTTGCAAAAAAATATATATTGTACCCTTTGCGTGTACTTTACTGTATTTATACTTAGGATATCGCTTTTCAACAGTAAAATGGGGGTCTAGTCTAGAGTAGACTGGCATATACAGTGAGGGAGAAAAGTATTTGATCCCCTGCTTATTTTGTACGTTTGCCCACTGACAAAGACATGATCAGTCTATAATTTTAATGGTAGGTTTATTTGAACAGTGAGTGAGAATAACAACAAAAAAATCAAGAAAAACGCATGTCAAAAATGTTATAAATTGATTTGCATTTTAATGAGGGAAATAAGTATTTGACCCCTCTGCGAAACATGACTTAGTACTTGGTGGCAAAACCCTTGTTGGCAATCAGAGGTCAGACGTTTCTTGTAGTTGGCCACCAGGTTTGCACACATCTCAGGAGGGATTTTGTTCCACTCCTCTTTGCAGATCTTCTCCAAGTCATTAAGGTTTCGAGGCTGATGTTTGGCAACTCGAACCTTCAGCTCCCTCCACAGATTTTCTATGGGATTAAGGTCTGGAGACTGGCTAGGCCACTCCAGGACTTTAATGTGCTTCTTCTTGAGCCACTCCTTTGTTGCCTTGGCCGTGTGTTTCGGGTCATTGTCATGCTGGAATACCCATCCACAACACATTTTCAATGCCCTGGCTGAGGGAAGGAGGTTCTCACCCAAGATTTGATGGTACATGGCCCCGTCCATCGTCCCTTTGATGCAGTGAAGTTGTCCTGTCCCCTTAGCAGAAAAACACCCCCAAAGCATAATGTTTCCACCTCCATGTTTGACGGTGGGGATGGTGTTCTTGGGGTCATAGGCAGCATTCCTCCTCCTCCAAACATGGCGAGTTGAGTTGATGCCAAATAGCTCGATTTTGGTCTCATCTGACCACAACACTTTCACCCAGTTCTCCTCTGAATCATTCAGATGTTCATTGGCAATTTCAGTGCTTTCTTGAGCAGGGGGACCTTGCGGGCGCTGCAGGATTTCAGTCCTTCACGGCGTAGTGTGTTACCAATTGTTTTCTTGGTGACTATGGTCCCAGCTGCCTTGAGATCATTGACAAGATCCTCCCGTGTAGTTCTGGGCTGATTCCTCACCGTTCTCATGATCATTGCAACTCCACGAGGTGAGATCTTGCATGGAGCCCCAGGCCGAGGGAGATTGACAGTTATTTTGTGTTTCTTCCATTTGCGAATAATCGCACCAACTGTCACCTTCTCACCAAGCTGCTTGCCGACGGTCTTGTAGCCCATTCCAGCCTTGTGTAGGTCTACAATCTTGTCCCTGACATCCTTGGAGAGCTCTTTGGTCTTGGCCATGGTGGAGAGTTTGGAATCTGATTGATTGCTTCTGTGGACAGGTGTCTTTTTATACAGGTAACAAACTGAGATTAGGAGCACTCCCTTTAAGAGTGTGCTCCTAATCTCAGCTCGTTACCTGTATAAAAGACACCTGGGAGCCAGAAATCTTTCTGATTGAGAGGGGGTCAAATACTTATTTCCCTCATTAAAATGCAAATCAATTTATAAAATTTTTGACATGTGTTTTTCTGGATTTTTTTGTTATTCTGTCTCTCACTGTTAAAATAAACCTACCATTACAATTATAGACTGATCATTTCTTTGTCAGTGGGCAAATGTACAAAATCAGCAGGGGATCAAATACTTTTTTCCCTCACTGTAGACAATGTTGGTATGCCATGTCTGTCACAAACGGTTCTATTGATACCGGTTTTCTATACAGGACCCACTTGGCAGGGTTAAGAGTTGGCTGTGTATCAAGTGTGGGCAACCATCGTAGAAATTGGGGGAAATGTTACTTAAAAGCCTTTTGTGGAAATGACATCTAGCATCCCCCCCCCCCCCCTCTTGTTTTCGAGTGTCCCTCGGTTGGGGAGTGTTGCTTAAACGGAACAACTAGTGGTAGGGAGAGCAAAATTAGGCTTAGGGAATGGGACATCACTAGCGCACATCAGAAACTGCAAACTGATACCACAATTCAATGATGATGAGCCTTGTGTTTTTCACAATGCCTGTAGTGGCTGCAATAATAGCTTTCCTTATATTTCTCATGCAACAAATATGTACTTACTATATAAGCAACAAATGAGAACAGCAGAACAACAATGTGCCTGTACTATTGTACCCATCTTCTGGCTGTGGCTCAGTGTGGAGTAGTAATGAAGCAGGACTTTCATTCCATAGCTGTTTGACATAACAGTCTCATTTCCTTCACTCAGTCATAACTAGTGGAATCATTGTAGTTAGAACAATTAAAACCACTGTTCTGAATTAGGCTAATATGGCTACACATCCATAGCATACACGTATTACTATCCTCCACTGCACAATAAGCAATAAAATAGTTAGCTACTGCTACGTTACTTGCATTGGCAAGTATCTTCATTCTCTAACATTACTACAAATAAAGAACAATTACAAGTTATTGACTTTGAAATATTTTTTCATGAACAGCAAGGCAAGCTTACAAAATTGGACATTCAATTCGCATTAAATCCTTTAGCTAGCAAGTTAGATTATTTACATCCACTGGGTTTCACAAGATGACTTGCTGGTTTTCTCAGGAGTCCCTAAAACACTAATTACAATTCATACAAATGTAAAACGCCCATATAGCAAGCTAGTTGGCTAATGTTAGCTAGTCGGCTAACTTGTTAAATAGCGATTTTCGGGAATTTGACAAATATGCATAATCGTTTTTCTCTACATTTAGTAACATATTCCTCTGAACTGTACATTTTTTACATGATTCGTTATGAAGCTATAATTACTTACATTTTTGTCAGCCATCTTCCTGAAGCAACTTTAGAGCCTTGGGTCGCAGAGCTTTATGGGAGTTTTGATAACCACTCGATAGGAAGTCTGCATTTCACTTTTTCTTGGGGGGGGGTGTATTGGGATTGAGCCCAAGTACATCTTTAGCAAACGATGATGCATTGATTTAGTATATTAATGTGCTGCACATCAAGTGGCATACCATGTGTTCCGTACTGTTGTGGATCCATAGCCAGGGGTGGAATAGGGAGTTTGAACCTCTACTCCCTGTCAGAAAAGGCTTGACGGGACGGTTTGAGCAGCTCGCTGGCATCACCACACACTCAAACCCACCTGAGCTTCTCAGACTTTCTCTGCACTGTAATGATGAAATCTACTGTAATTATGTCTTCAAGCTAAGATCATATGTAAAGGATCTATATTTCTTTCATCTCAGTCTAGCCTAGCTACTCTGAGCTTGTGGAATTTTTTAAAGTACAGGAAAGGCTTATTGCTCCACTGACTGTCAGTGCAGAAGGCGTGTGTCCTTATGTCATCCACTACGAAGTGTCACACCATTTCAACACAAAGCCACTTCCTTTCGGTAATAGAACAATCAGCTTTCGCTGGAAGGATGTGGCCATACTGAGCTGAACTAGTTCAGAAGTCACTCAGAACCAATCATTATGCAGTAGCAGATTTTTAAGACTTGAAGGCCTTTGATTCATTCTGCACTTTTATATATTTTTATGTTGCATGTTTTTGTCCTGTGAAAAGAATATCAACTCAGGAAACCAATGTTTCTTAGGTCTAATGATGTCTTACACTTTGTAGGCTATACATTGCCATTATTGGATTCTACTTGGGCTAGTCTGTTTTGAAATGGGCTTGAATGGGGATGTTTCGTGCATTCATCTATGCCATAGCTTATATACAGTGATGAGCCTTAAAGGAAGCTAGTCGCCAAGAAAGCATGTGGTTTACTAGCTGTTTACAGCCTTGTCACAAGATGTGTTGACACAGTTTTTTACAGTTACGATAAGGCAGGTTACTCAGAAAAAATGGTCACCTTTTCCATGCATCATAAAGATAAGCCTTTGGCCTCCAACTGTCCATTTTTCATGGATCCTTTATTGCAGTTAACCTAGTCAGAGATGAGGAAATGCACTCCGTTTACAGCGAGTCCACAAACTACCATTTACATACTACTCTATTCCACTTATTAGACCAGACCTCTATCCATTATACACAGTGACAATTGTCAGCAAGACAAAATAATGGGTTTTCACTCCTTTTGCAATTTGCTTGTTGTATCCCAGGGGCTGAAATGTGATTGTGGTTTGTCTTTGAGCCAGTGGTGATATTCATATCCATCTTAATGGTGTGTGTACTTAAGGCAGACCTCTGAAGGCATTAGGCTAGACGGCGTGTTTGGAAAAAGCAGTGCTTCATTATTTACGTAGTATTCATATTCGATACTACGTGGTTCGACATTGGTCGAGTCTATAAATACAAACAACCATTTTATTTATATTGTCTGTATATTTATCTCCTCAAACCTCAATGGCTTAAGATTGATGGGTGTTTTGGTTGATCCATTTTGCCCTTCTCGTCCTCTCTTCCAGCTACCCGGTGGAGAGTGGAGGACTGTCGGTGAAGAAGGGGAGTAAGAGCAAGAATTTGGAGAAGACTAGGAGAGCCCTCAGTCTGGAGGAGGCCCAACTGGAGCTCCAGCAGCAGAGCAGGAACCTCACCAGACAAGCCCCTGTCAGGTAACCACACAGACACACTGTGCAACCATAGGCTGTTTTTGCACAGGCAGCCCAATTCTTATCTTTTGCCCAATCATTGGGAAAAAAATATCAGAAATGGGCTGCCTGTGTAAACGCAGCCATATGGACTTCAAGATTTTACCATAGATGCTTAAACACACTTGTTGTTTTCTCTTTGTGAATGTGTGAATTAAACTAAGGCCTCTGTGTTTGACTGTCAATGTCTGTCGATAATTCGCTAAACCCACAGACTTCACGTAACGTCATGCTGATGCTTTGTCTTCCAAAGGTCTCAGACATTCGATGTGGATAGAAGTTTTGAGAGGACTGAAGGCAGCGGTTCACAAAGTGTACGTTCACTCGTTTTGACTTTTTGACACAGTTTATGGTTGGGATAGCTTGAATCAGCTGCTTTATCAAGTTTTCAAGGCTTCTCAGTACTCTAACATGGTCAATTTAGTCATGCTTTTTTTCTTCTGTTCAACAGAGTTTTATAAAGCACAACAAAACATTCCACAAGCTGTTTCCTGACATTCCGGAGAGTGAAGACTTACTACATGGTAAGTGACGTTTGGAATATTATTGGTGGCCAAAGGTGGCTCTCCAAACAAAATACTGTGTGTCAAATACTCGCGTCATGGAAACAGCTATTCATGACATTTTTAAACTAATTGTTAAAACAATAGCATGGTTTGGCGATGCTGCGGCATGAGTTGCCACAAAACCATAATAACTGACAATGGTGCACAGTTATCTGGCAGCCTTTTCGGCCATCACCGTCTGACCGACAGACGGTGCTTGCTGTGTCATCACGCTGCCAGGCCTTATGTAACTAACATTCCCATGTCCTCTCTTTCTCCCCAGCCTACATCTGTGCCCTGCAGAAGGAAGTGCCCTACCATGGCAGGCTCTACGTCACCGAGCACCACGCATGCTTCCACTCTTCCGTGCTGCTCAAGGACACCAAGGTAAGCAAACCTGACCCTTGATAGGTGACTAGGCTTTTTAGTTGAAAACAACATGGTTTGAACTTTGTCCTACTTGTGAATAAATGGTTTGGATGTCCTATTCGTAGCTAATGGAGAAATATATACATATACAGTGAATTCGGAAGGTATTCGACCCCTTGACTTTTTCCACATTTTGTTACGTTACAGCCTTATTCTAAAATTGATTAAATTGTTTTTTTCCCTATTCAGTCTACACACAATACCCCATAATGACAATGCAAAAACAGGTTTTTAGAAATGTTGCTAATTTATAAAAAAACTGAAATATCACATTTACGTAAGTACTCAGTACTTTGTTGAAGCACCTTTTGGCAGCGATTACAGCCTCAAGTCTTCTTGGGTATGACGCTACAAGCTTGGCACTCCTGTATTTTGGGAGTTTCTCCCATTCTTCTCTGCAGATCCTCTCAAGCTCTGTCAGGTTGGATGGGGAGTGTTGCTGCACAGCCAACCCTACAGTTTATTAATATGAATTTTACTTGGTACATCTAAAGTAATGATTATTGTTTGAAAAGCCTTTTTCTTAGGGATGTGACGGTACTGTTGCAAGTGAAGGTCTGTTGCTCCTCTCTGTGTGTTTCTGCAGTTGGTGATCCCGGTGACCAGCGTGCACATTATGAAGAAGCAGAACACCGCCCTGCTGGTGCCCAATGCCCTGTCTATCCGCACCATCGAGGGAGAAAAGGTCAGGGTTCACTTCCTTAGCTATCACATTGACACTGCATAGTCCATCCCTTAATCAAATTATATGATCTATACTGGTGGTTGTATTGTCAATCTTTAATAGAGGGCAACCGATGAGTTACATAACACTCATTGACCTCTGATATCAAAGATTTTAATCTGGTCAATGACTTAGCTCATTTGAAGGCAAAGGTTTGCAACCTTGTACGTTACAGTTTGACTAAAGGGCATCCAAGCTAAAATGTCTCTCTCTCCTGTGTGTGTTTTTAGTACCTGTTTGTGTCTTTGCGGAACCGAGAGGCATGCTACAAACTCCTGCGGTCCGTTTGTCCTCAACTGGAGGATGGAAGTGCCAACAGCAGCACCTTATTCTCTTCTGCGGACAATAGCTTTGATAAGGGCAAGCTGGTGGTGAGTTAGAATCACTACCTTTTATTGTCTTCCTAAAGTTTTTATTTTTTTATTCCTGAGTGAAAATACTACAACAGCCCTTCGTAACCTAACGTTACTGCCTCATATTCTACTGTAGATGTTTTGGCCTCTATTTTGAAGCTGGTTTTAACCCACTGCCTTTTTCCATCTCCCCAGAACTCCAGTCAGTCCAGTGTAGAGGACAGTTTTGACCAGCTGGACGGGTCAGAACCCAAGCTCTTCCTTGACTCGCCCCCACCCAGCCCACACATAGGTGAGTGCGCCTAACTGGAATAGTAGTCTGGAAGAAGATCAGCCTTTAGTCTGGAGGGTCTACTCTGGACTAGTACTTTTTAACTCTGCATTGTTGGGAAAGGGCTCGTAAGTAAGCATTTCATGGTAAAGTCTACACTCGTTGTATTCGCTGCATGTCACAAATTGTATTTTATTGTGGTCCTGTTTCCTGGACACAGAGTAAGCCTAGTCCTGGACAAAAAAATCCCTTTCAAGGGAGAATTTCCTTTGAGCGTGCTTAATCTTAAGCACAATGTTCAACCTCTCCTGTAGTCCCTAATGTGTAGACTGATAAAGTTTTACAGTTGGCTACATGCGAGTGTTCTCTTTTCTTATGAATGGTGTATTTTGTAGGTTAAATGAATAGGGTGCTTTGTTCAACCTCCCCAGAAAGTACCCCCATGTGTAGACTAATAAAGTTTTACAGTCGGCTACAAGTGACGTTATCTGTTGTGTACGTACCTGACCTCCACATGCAAAGTCCAAGGTAATGTTTTTAGAGATGGACTAACGTGTGTTTTTTTTCATCCTCCTCAGACCTAGTGCCTCAAGGGAGCAGCTGCAGCCCTAGGAGCACGCACACGCAGCAGAGTGACAGCTCCTTAGAGGACCTTTCAGGTAAACACACACACACAACGTAGGCCTATGTGTCTGGTTGTCTCCTTTTCTCACACAAACAGAAAAAAAGCTTTATCACAGCGAGCCACTGACAAGCAAGTTGTTTTACAGTTAGTCATGTGTGTGCCATAGTGGGATTGCTTGATTTTATTTGGCAATGGAAAATGCATATAAAGCTGCCAGAGACATTACATGCCTGCGCTAACCACATGTCGTTCTGTCTCTCCTCGGTCAGGTGGCTCGTGGGTGTGGAGTGTGACGGAAAAAGCCCGCTCCATCCTCATCCAGAGAGAGGCCAGCAGCCTCAACACTCTCCTCTTCATCTACCTAATACTGTAAGTGACCTCTAACCTCTCCACACTCATCTACCGAATCCTGCTTCCCTAACTTCCTATCTTTACACTTGCTCTGTATTTGCTCAGTTTAACCCCCTATGGTCGATGTCCGTGCCCCCGCTGAAATCTAATTAGCATAATAAAAAATCCCCATCGCAATCTGTCAGTTTAAGCTAGAGATGTCAGTTTTTTTTGCATTGGATGCATCTCAATCCACCGCATCCGCTTATGTCGCACTTCTGCATCTGCAGTGAAAGGTGACAGCGCTAGAACGGTGTTTGTCAGACCATGAGACATCCCGAAAATCGGTGTTCTCACAAAATTGGCTGTAGTGTCCGAAAGGTGTTCGATGGGGTTGAGGTCAGGGCTCTGTGCAGGCCAGTCAAGTTCTTCCACGCCGATCTCTACAAATCATTTTGGTATGGACCTCGCTTTGTGCACGGGGGCATTGTCATGCTGAAACAGGAAAGGGCCTTCCCCAAACTGTTGCCACAAAGTTGGAAGCACAGAATCATCTAGAATGTCATTGTATGCTGTAGCGTTAAGATTTCCCTTCAATGGAACTAAGAGCCTAGCCCGAACCATGAAAAACAGCCCCAGACCATTATTCCTCCACCAAACTTTACAGTTGGCACTATGCCTTCGGGCAGGTAGCGTTCTCCTGGCATCCGCCAAACACAGATTCGTCCGTCGGACTGCCAAATGGTGACACGTGATTCATCACTCCAGAGAACGCGTTTCCACTGCTCCAGAGGTCAATGGCGGCGAGCTTTACACCACTCCAGCCGACGCTTGGCATTGCGCATGGTGATCTTAGGCTTGTGTGCAGCTGCTCGGCCATATAAACCTGCTTCATTAAATTCCAGACTAACAGTTCTTGTGCTGACGTTGCTTCCAGAGGCAGATTGGAACTCTGTAGTGAGTGTTGCAACCGAGGACAGACGATTTTTACACACTTCAGCACTCTCGGTCCCATTCTGTGAGCTGAGCTGTTGTTGCTCCTAGACGTTTCCACTTCACAATAACAGCATTTACAGTTGACCGGCGCAGCTCTAGCAGGGCAGAAATTTGACTAACTGACTTGTTGGAAAGGTGGCATCCTATGACTGTGCCACGTTGAAAGTCACGTCTGTAAGGCCATTCTACTGCCAAAGTTTGTCAATGGAGATTGCATGGCTGTGTGCTTGATTTTATACACCTATCAGCAACGGGTGTGACTGAAATAGCCGAATCCACTCATTTGAAGAGGTGGCCACATACTTTTGTATATATATAGTGTATATAAGGAGACTGTTTAGTGCCAAAAAAAGGGGTTAATATGTATGTATGTGTGTGTGTGTTATTTATATATATATAACACACACACACACACACACACACACACACACACACACACACACACACACACACACACACACACACACACACACACACACACAGTACCAGTCAAAAGTTTGGACACACCTACTCATTCAAGGGTTTTTCTTAATTTTTACTATTTTTTACATTGTAGAATAAAAGTGAAGATATCAAAACTATGAATTAACATATGGAATCATGTAGTAACCAAAAAAGTGTTAAACAAATCAAAATATGTTTTATATTTGAGATTCTTCAAATAGCCACCCTTTGCCTTGATGACAGCTTTGCACACTCTTGGCATTGTAAAAATAAAGAGAAACCCTTGAATGTGTAGGTGTGTCCAAACTTTTGACTGGTAGTGTAGATAGATGGATGGCACAGACACTACAGAACAAACTTCCTTTAGATTATGTTTGTGGGACTATCTGTTCCATGTAGTGATTATGTTATTCAATGTGTTTGTATGGTGCTAATAGCAAAGGTCCTTTTTTTTTTTTTTTTTTTTTTTTTTTTTTACAGCATTTTTGTATATATTTTTTGGATACTTCAAGGGGTCTTAAAATTCGAACTCAAATTATCCTTGGTATGACCTTAAAACAATTCCATATAGCTTAGTAGAAACCCCTCTCCCCTGACTTAGACTGTTATGGGTGAATGGGATTCGGTGTGTCTAGACTTGAGGGCCTCATTTCACAAAACACGTTTCTAGGCTTATGCTCTGCAGGCATGGTAACCAATGTGTTCCTAAAAGCATTTGCATACATGTGCCTAGTTACACGTGATTAAATGATGAGATAAGAAAAAGCTATACGACTGGTTAAATAAGTTATGTACTCCACAAACACGTAAAAATGTCCAGCTGCTCTAGATCTAGTTCTACTTGCTCTGGAAGACTAAGTTTAAAACCATCACGTCAAAGTTGCCGCATTGGAATGTGCTCTTTGAAGACTGACAATAGATTGAGGAAATTAATTTTGGATGGCCTATGACCAATTTGAATGAGGTGAATTGAAGCCGCATATGCGGGTGTGACTAAACATTGTTTGTGTTTAGGGTGGTACTACTGCTGCTATCATCGGGGTACATCGGCCTCCGTATTGTGGCTCTGGAGGAGCAGTTGACCTCTCTGGGCGCCCTCCCAGAATTCTCCCTACAGAGCAGGTAAGACAACCACACAGCAACCATAATACAACCTCCACATAACAGGTCACAACCACAGCACAACCACTGTACAACTAGAAACCATGTCACGTCTCAAGCAAGCATTGCCTACAATTGCTTAATTTAAACGCATCCTTTATGTATGAACGTAAGCATGTTCATACCTGGCGCCAGATCCTGATGGGCTTTAGCCCTCCTGAATATCTATAGTCAGGAGTTGGCTAAACCATATACAGATCTTGGACCAGGCTTCTGCACATTGGAAGACATGCGTAATCTGTGTGTGCAACTGTTCTACACAGGCGTAACTGAGACTTCGGATTATTTTAAGATATTTTAACTGACATTTTGTGGTTATGCAAATTGCCTCTCTCCCTCCCTTTCGGAGCTCTGACTTTCAAATTCCCATAAGAGGTGCAGCTCAGCTGGCGCGAAGCCAAATCCTTTTGTATCGCATGGGGTGTATTGTGTGTTCAAGCCTTTCTCTTTTTTGGAAGTATACTCAACGGCCTCCTTTCTCTTTCTTAGGTACAAAGACACATAACCATGATTGACCAGAGGAGAGCTTGACGACGTTTGGAGGACGTGACAATATGGCGGCAGTGAAAAATTACAACTGGAGCTCTCGTGTTGAAGATATTTTGTCTTCGTCCTAGAAGAACTAGGAGCAATTTTGAAAGTGTTCCAGAGATGGCCCGTCGTCCCCTTGCCTATAGGACTTGTAGGAGCACCTCCCCAAAGACAGACGGGTAAACTCAAAGAGCTATATTTAAGAGGGCTAGACCCAGGCCAGCCACATCTCGCAGCAAGCGGAGCCAAGCCAACACATACGCACACAAATGAGCTGCTGTGTGTCTGACTTGGACCCAAAGCCAACTCCCGAACTAAGAATAAACTGAAGAGGGGAGGCGATAGTCATCTCTATCTGCTCTCAGATCGGATTGACAAGAAGCGATTTCTCTGATTTTCCAGAGAACTCTGGAACATGCGTGCGCTTCCATTCTATGTATTCTCTTCATGGGCATGTGGTCTGTGCAGACTACCCGTATCAACTGTAGTACTACGTTTTGCTTTTTTTAACACTTCCCGTAAGGTACAAGTGCTATGCAGAACCAAAGATGCACAAAGTGCACGTCTTTCGCATGAGTGCACAGAGATTACTTTGATCATTTAGCTCCTATCTCAGCATTTCATCAGGGTGTTAAAAGTCAATCTGTATTTAATCTTTCACTACTAAGCCATCTGCGGGTACTCTTGAATGATTATCCTGGTAATCAGCCATAATGATAACAATTAATGATCTTCTCTTACACGGATCAGCCAGCCGAGCAGCCATTTTGAGCTCCTCTCCTGACGGTCTCTTCCTCTCCTCTCTTTAAAGATCAGCTGTGTTAAGCCTGGCATTCGCATGATTTAAACCAGTTTAATGACCAATGCTTTGGAGGCCACTCCCTCCAGTCTCACTGGATGTATGCATCTTCAATGCACAAAACCAGTACGATCAGGTTAAGGAGTGTTGTCACTTTTGTAGCCGTAGAAATTTTCAACTATTTATTTTCATATTACTTTGATCATCAAAGTAGTTTTTGATATAGTAATCTGAACAAGACAACAGTATTGGTATATCTGAGGACTTCTGTACTGTATAGAATGAACTGATGCTGTGTAAAAGCAAAGAATCAAACCTCTGTTCTCAACAGGCCTGTCAATGACTAAACGCTTGTTCCCACTGGTTCAGGTGTTTCAGGACTGTTCAATGGATATTTAGATTAAGATGAGAGTAAGCTGCGCCATACTGTATTGTATATTATTGCATGTGTCTGGAACATCAGATACTTGACTGATATATTATGCACATTCTAATCAAGCGACGTTGTTACGGAGGTCCTATTTCCAACAAAGGAAATAAATGTGGTCCAGAAAATGAATTTCAATATGCAAAAAATATGCAGGCTAAAAATAAATTGGCAAACCTGTAGTTTTTTTTTTTTTTAATGGAGTGTGTGGTTGGGGTGAGGAAATTATTTGTAAAAAATAAATAAAGCTCGTGAGCGAGCAAGCGCACTTTAAAAGTTGTGAACCTGTCAATCCAAAGACATCACATTTGACAGATGGTGGGGAAGCAGATGTTTTGTTCTATAGTATGTGATGGTGCTAAGATCTTTGTTCTTCTCAGGGGTGGGTGTAACCTGCCACAGTTTCAGGTTCACTGCTTTTCCTTCGCCATTTCACGTCCTTGTCCACCGACGAGATAATGCTCTCTACTTTTAATTGAGAATCACTTTGTAACTTTGCAATATGTCAGTCTCTGTGATTTGTTTTAACTTATCTAGTGACATGGAATGATTGCTTTTTCTTTCTCATGTTTTTCAACTTTTTTTTTTTTTTTTATTGAAACATTTCTCTATTGACGAGACATGAAATGCATTGAAGTGACGTCTTATGTCCTATGTTATTATGATTGGGTATTTGTAGGCAGGTGTTGGCCTCAAAGATGTATGCCTACATGCCATAAAGCAGTACTGTCAGTTACTGTACTTCCCCTACCAGGGGACAGCACACGTCTTCTTCAAATGGACGCAATGCAAGAATCGCAATGAGTGCAGTATTTTGTGTGATTTTGCACTATTGAAGTGTTGTACTTTTTTGTATCAATTGTAATGTCCTTAATTCTACTATGGTCATGTATTTATTTGCATTCTGTGTAATTCAAGGTAGTTGTCTCTGTGAGATTTTACTTTGGTATTGTTAAATAAATCAAATGTTGCAAGAAGTACTTTTTATGTGAAGAAGTTACATGCATATCATATATTCATGGTGGCAACCTTTTCTGGCCTGGAAATATAGCATATGGTATTTGAAGGCTCCTGTGTTCCCTTTCTGTTCATAAAGTCGCTCCACTCAATATTGCCTTTACACAATACAAAAGCACCACCGAGGTGAGTGGAGGAGATGCAAATTATCTTATTTGTTTCGTCATTTATACAATGTTTATGTAATACATTGCTTTAAACCATGCCCCAGGCTTAAGGATGTCACTCTGTGACCTGGAAGGTGGCTTCATTGTCAATTTACCTGGAAAACAGATCAAAAGGTGTGTGTGTGTGTGTGTGTGTGTAAGCAATGAAGTAAAGAGTCCAGGCAGGAGTCAAATATTCCCATTTATTCTGTACAGCAGATTTTGCCAAAGGACATGGGTAGTTTCCCTTGTTGCGGTCACATTGCTATCAATGGTAATGGTAAAGGCTATATATTTGTTTATTTTTTGTGTGCAAGTAAAAGATGTGCTCCATTTAGCTTTCTTGAATGTTGGGAGGAGGTGGTTCTGAAATGTTCTTCTGATAGGCACAGAGTTGGAACACACCTGAAAGATCAAGCAACAATGAAATGGATGAGTCACAACATTGAAAATATGCCAAGACCCTGTGCTGAGACTTCTGGACAGCCCGAAAAGCTAGTTGCAACCCAGCTAACCCATGGGACCTTGACACAATATCTACAGCACTGTCCGTTGGTGGCAGAAGTAGGATGCATCCTAACCACAGAAGATACAGTATGTACGTTGAAGTATTGTGAGTGTTGCTAATCGAATATGGATTGCAGCTGATCCTAACCCCACTACAACAGTAACACCAGACTGTACATATTGTAATATAGCTGATATACAAGACATCCTATCTTAAACACGAAGGGATAGTTTGAGTCAAGTCTGATGAACTCATGGATAACATTTTTCTGTCTGCATGCAGTTTGAAGGTAGTTTCTGGAGCCATTGCTAACTAGCATTAGCGCAATGACGAAGTCTATAGGAGCAGCTACCAGAAACTACTGTCAACATCCTTCAAACTGCATGCAATGGTATCCATTTGTTAATCTGACTCTGGGTAAGTAGAAAAAAAGAGCTTAACCCCCTAAAGTCGACGTCTGCGGTCCTGCGAAATCAAATTCGCATAATAACAAAACTATCCCCATCAAAATCCATCAGTTTAAGCTAGAGATCCACTGCATCCACCGATGTCGCCCTCCACATCTGCGGTGAAAGGTGGCAGAGCTAGAGCTGTGTTTGTCAGACCATGAGACATCCCGAAAATCGGTCTTCTCACAAATGTCTGAATGGTTTAGCCCACAAACTATTATGACCCCTCTGGAAAGATGAGACTCTCACGAACATCCAAACTGCCAACTTCTGTCTGTAGCGTCTGAACCATTTGGGATACACACTACACGTACATATTGGTTGTTTTGCTCTAGGACGCTCACAAGACTAGTCTGAAGGTAGCCAAGTACCAGTTTAAAAACTAAATGGACGTATATATGAAGATAGTTTAGTACCTAAAATAAGGGGTTAAATGCATGTAAAAAAAAAAGTTTACAAAAATATACAGTACCAGTCAAAAGTTTGGACACACCTACTCATTCCAGGGTTTTTCTTTATCAAGCGCTATGATGAAACTGCCTCTAATGAGGACCGCCACAGGGAAGGAAGACCCAGAGTTACCTCTGCAGCAGAGGATAAGTTCATTAGAGTTACCAGCCTCAGAAATCGGCAATTAACTGCACCTCAGATTGCACCTCACAGAGTTCAAGTAACAGATACATCAACTGTTCAGAGGAGACTGCGTTGATCAGGCCTTCATTGTCGAATTGCTGCAAAGAAACCACTACTAAAGGACAATAAGAAGAAGAGACTTGCTTGGGCCAAGAAACACGAGCAATGGACATTAGACTGGTGGAAATCTGTCCTTTGGTCTGATGAGTCCAAATTTGAGATTGTTGGATCCAACCACCGTGTCTTTGAGAGGCAGAGTAGGTGAACGGATGATCTCTGCATGTGTGGTTTCCACCGTGAAGCATGGAGGAGGAGGTGTGATGGTGACACTGTCTGTGATTTATTTAGAATTCAAGGCACACTTAACCAGCATGGCTACCACAGCATTCTGCAGCGATACGCCATCCCATCTAGTTTGCACTTAGTGGGACTATCATTTGTTTTTCAACAGGACAATGACCCAAAACACACCTCCAGGCTGTGTAAGGGCTATTTTACCAAGAAGGAGAGTGATGGAGTGCTGCATCAGATGACCTGGCCTCCACAATCACCAGACCTCAACACAATTGAGATGGTTTGGGATGAGTTGGACCGCAGAGTGAAGGAAAAGCAGTCAACAAGTGCTCAGCATACGTGGGAACTCCTTCAAGACTGTTGGAAAAGCATTACAGGTGAAGCTGGTTGAGAGAATGCCAAGAGTGTGCAAAGCTGTCATCAAGGCAAAGGGTGGCTACTTTGAAGAATCTCAAATATAAAATATATTTTGATTTGTTTAACACTTTTTGGGTTACTACACGATTCCATATGTGTTATTTCATTTTTTTTTATGCCATTTAGCAGACGCTTTTATCCAAAGCGACTTACAGTCATGTGCGCATACATTTTTACATATGGGTGGTCCCGGGGATCGAACCCACTACCCTGGCGTTACAAGCGCCATGCTCTACCAATTGAGCTACAGAGGACCACAATGTAGAAAATAGTAAAAATAAAGAAACCCTTGAATGAGTAGGTGTGTCCAAACTTTTGACTGGTACTGTGTATATAGTTTCCTGATCTTTCTTATCTTTCAGATATAGAACAAACTTCCTTTCAAATGTTTTTGGGGACTATCTGTTTATGCATGTATGAAGCTGTTATTCAATGTATTTCTCAGTGGTGTAAAGTACTTAAGTAGTACTTTAAAGTATTTTTACTTAAGTCATTTTTTGGGGGGTATTTGTACTTTACCATTTATATTTTTCACAACTTTTACTTTAACTCCCAAAAGTACTTTTCGAATGCTTAGCAGGACAGGAAAATTGTCCAATTCATGCACTTATCAAGAGAACGTCCATCCATTTTTTTTTTTTATTACAAGAAATTTGTGCTGTTTGGTTACTATAAGGAATGTGGTGATTTTTACTTTTGATACTTAAGTATATTTTAGCAATTACATTTACTTTTGATAGTTAACTATATTTTAAACTAATTACTTTTAGAGTTTTACTCAAGTAGTATTTTACTGGGTGACTTTTACATTTACTTGAGTCATTTTCTGTTAAGGAATCTTTACCTTTCCTCAAGTATGACAATTGGGTACTTTTTCCACCACTGGCGTTTCTATGGGCTAATAGCAGTAAGGCCAAATAAAATAAAAAACAATTTGATACCTTAAGGGGTCCTAAAACTCTAGATCAAATAGCTAAATAATTTTTGGTATGACCAACTTAAAACAATTCCCCCGCTTAGACTCTAAAGGGTTTTAATTGACAAAATCTCAAACTATCCCTTTCAAGACAAAAGGGTTTATTAGAGAAGGAGTTTACCAGCAACGAAAGATAAGATGATGGCCACCCAACCTAAGATGTAGGACCAGGAGAAGCGCCAATCAAGGAAGCGCTTGCCAAAAAAGTTGACAGTCACGCCAGTGTAGATGGCCAGAGCTAACAGAGCAAGAAAACCTGAGGGATAAAAGAAAATGTGGTGGGGGAAAAGAGAGAAAGATGTTGATGTGGCCAAGACACAAGTTTTTTATTTAAGAATGGTGATGTCTATACAAATCTACAAAATGTAATTCCTGATTATTTTTTTCCTGACTGGTCCACTATGCTATACTTTCTACTTGCATAGTCTAAACTGGTGTCCTCTCCTTGAAGGAACTGGACAGGTCAAAGCAAACCCCCTGTTGGCCTTACATGCTTTCACCTTTTCTGTCTTTTCACATAAGGGTCGGTATCCATAAAGCATCTCAGAGTAGATGCTGATCTAGGATCAGGTCCCCCATGTCCATGTAATGTTATTCATTGTGATCTAAAATCCTAAACAGATGCTATATCAGCACTCCTACTCTGCGACGCTTTATGAATACGGCCCCTGGTGTTTACCTGACAGGAGCAGAGCGATGCCCCCCATCCGGACCCTCCTGCTCTTGGTGCCATTGGCGAAGGCGCTCAGGCCCAGCACCACGCCAGCGAAGCAGCTCAGCACGGACAGCAGCATGAAGGCCCTCGTCGCATCCCAGAAGGCTGTGCAGAGAGGACAACATCATATACAGTGCATTCGGAAAGTATTCAGACCCCTTTACTTTTTCCACATTTTGTTACATTACAGCCTTATTCTAAAATGGATTAAATTAATTTTTTCCCTCATCAATCTATACACAATACCCCATAATGACAAAGCGAAAACAGGTTTTGATTTTTTAGCAAATTTATATTGAAAAATACAATGATATACCTTATTTACATAAGTATTCAAACCCTTTGCTATGAGACTCGAAAATGAGCTCAGGTGCATCCTGTTTCCATTGATCATCCTTGAGATGTATCTACAACTTGATTGGAGTTCACCTGTGGTAAATTCAATTGATTGGACATTATTTGGAAAGGCACACACCTGTTTATATAAGGTCCCACAGTTGACAGTACATGTCAGAACAAAAACCAAGCCATGAGGTCGAAGGAATTGTCCGTAGGGTTAGGTCAGTGACAGGATTGTGTCGAGGCACAGATCAGGGGTAGGGTACGAAAACATTTCTGCAGCATTGAAGGTCCCCAAGAACATAGTGGCCTCCATCATTCTTAAATGGAAGAAGTTTGGAACCACCAAGACTCTTCCTAGAGCTGGCTGCCTGGCCGAACTGAGCAATCGGGGGAGAAGTCTTGGTCAGGGAGGTGACCAAGAACCCAATGGTTACTCTGACAGAGCCCTCCTCTGTGGAGATGGGAGACCTTCCAGAAGGACAACCATCTCTGCAGCACTCCACCAATCAGGCCTTTATAGTAGAGTGGCCAGACAGAAGCCACTCCTCAGTAAAAGGCACATGACTGCCCGCTTGGAGTTTGCCAAACGGCACCTAAAGGACTCTCAGACAATGAGAAACAAGATTATCTGGTCTGATGAAACCAAGATTGAACTCTTTGGCCTGAATGCCAAGCGTCATGTCTGGAGGAAACCTGGCACCATCCATACGGTGAAGCATGGTGGTGGCAGCATCATGCTGTGGGGATGTTTTTCAGTGGCAGGGACTGGGAGACTAGTCAGGATCAAGGGAAAGATGAACGGAGCAAAGTACAGAGAGATCCTTGATGAAACCTGCTCCAGAGCACTCAGAACCTCAGACTGGGGCGAAGGTTCACCTTCCAACAGGACAATGACCCTAAGCACACAGCCAAGACAATGCAGGAGTGGCTTCGGGACAAGTCTCTGAATGTCCTTAAGTGGCCCAGCCAGAGCCCAGACTTGAACCTGGTCGAACATCTCTGGAGAGACCAGAAAATAGCTGTTCAGCGACACTCCCCATCCAACCTGACAGAGCTTGAGAGGACATGCAGAGAAGAATGGGAGAAACTCCTCAAATACAGGTGTGCCAAGCTTGTAGCATCATACCCAAGAAGACTCTAGGCTGCAATTGCTGCCAAAGGTGCTTCAACAAAGTAAAGGGTCTGATTACTTATGTAAATGTGATATTTCAGTTTCTAAAAACCTGTTTTTGCTTTGTCAATATGGGTATTGTGTGTTGATTGATGAAGGGGAAAAAACAATGTAATCAATTTTAGAATAAGGCTGTAACGTAACAAAAGTCTGAATACTTTCTGAATACACTGTAAGTGTATTAACATCGGTACGTAATCTCCTTCTGTGTAGCTATCAAAAGTGTTTTATTTATATGTTAGTATGTAGGCCTACATGTGTATTGTAGTTATGTTTGATTAATAAAATCCAAATAGTTAGCAGTTTTGAGTAACTAGAACTTACTCACCTTATAGTTTCTCTATAGGCTATTCGTAGTCGTTATCATTCAGGGTCAGTTTTAGTGGTTAGGCCAAAAACAGAGCCATATATTCTAAATATATGGCTCTTGATCACAGGAGTTGAGGTTAAAGGGGTAGTTCACCCAAAATACAAAATGACTTGTAGGTTCCTTACCTTGAAAGTAGTTTATGGGCCAAGAAAAATGGTGTTATGTATACATAACCATAGCCACTATCTGCATTAGCCACATTAGCATTGACAACGAAAAACCACTGAGAATCAATGGACCCCAGGTAGCATGCTCTTATTTGCATGCCATAATCACCTCAAAGTAAAACAAATTCATATAGAGCGGATCCTAAATTATTAGTTGAAGGTAGATTGTGCACTCTACTACTCACCCACAGTGATGGTGTGGGCATGGCACTTGTGATTGATGCAAAACCTCCAGAGGCCCTGGTTGGCCGAGGCGCCCGAGTAGCGGTACTGCATCCAGAAGTCGGTCGCCGTGGAGACTATGAGGAGCACGAGGGCGGCCACACCACAGAGTGTGCCCCCTCCTGCTAAAGTGTACAGCATCAAGGAGATGCCTGGTATAGCACAGTCCTCCTAAATGCACCGCAACTGTTTGAGGTAAAAAAAATAAGGAGAGAAGATTAGAAAGAGTTCATCACTATGGATCACTCTAACCATATACTAGCTTGAACAAAACCATCTCTAAGTGGAGGATAACATTTCAGTTACTTTTAAAAAGTGTACTATGTGTTGAATTTTTACCACCTGTTTGTAGAATAGATCAGAAGGAAGGAACCATGCTTCGTACTTATGGCATACATTGGATAGAAGACTTGCTGAGGAAGTTTTAAAAAACATACTGGGGGGGATACGGGTGTACATGTGTTGGGGTGAACATTGCAACAGTGTGTGGCATTGCAAACAGCCTTGAGCTCAATTTTATAAAATGCATCCTTCCTTGAGTCTAATCTGACATACTTTCATAGGCAAAAGCAGTTTAGTCTGATCTGTGATTAGGCTTGAAGGAAGAACTGAAGGAAGGATGCATTTTTGAAGTTCAAGCAGGGCCTTCATTTGGAAGTCAACCCTAACACCTTTAGTCTTTAGAGCAGATACATCAAGTTTTAATGGCATGTGGTGGTGACACCTACCCAAATATAAGCACACCAACAACAACTGCACTTCTAGTCACCATGCAAAACGTTTTTGCAAAAAAGATTGCTCAAGTTGAAACTCCCTTTCTAATCCATTAAAATGTAATTTCAAAATTGTTGAATGCATATTTCCATCTATCTGATCAAGAGCCACCAATAACAAAAGCAAACACCTGCAAATTTTGCCAAACCAAACAAAGCACTTAACCAAAATGACTGCATGTCAATGAGAGTGCTGAACAGGCTGATTCAAACCATTGTTTCCAACTAATTCCCCCAGTGCATCACAACTAATCTTCTAATGCTGAGCAATAGATCTGTCAGCATGTTGCTCTGTGACCAGCGTGATTGGGTACCAATACCCTTTTCAAACTACTGAGCTGAACCAAGCCATATGTTGTTGGAACCCTGCTGGAAAGGGCAATGTGAAAAGATATGGTGTGAAGAAATATCTAAGCCGTTCGGGGCAGCACGATTGTGAGAAAAGGGTACAATATTCCATAGTTGCCGTTTCAATTTCCGCAGCAGCAACAATTCATCCGAAGACCAAAAGCTAAAACAAATTGAAGGAAGAACTGGCCCATTTATACTCCCAAAAAAGATGTTTCATAAACTTAAATAACAGGAAGGGGCCCCACACCCTAGTTATAAAGTAAGTTGTCTCCAAAGAGCAGTTCCCTCCTCATCTTCTTGTTGCTATAATAATGTGTTTTTGTATGTAGTCCATTTATATCTATGTAAAAAAATAGGAACGTTTGCAGATACCTCTGTTGGTTGCTGTCTCTGTGCTGGGTGGTTCGCTGTCTGCGTGAGTCTATCCTTTTTAAACTCTCTACCCATGGCCCTCATTGTCTGCCTATACAATAGAGGGAATGATCGAGTGCAACATGTGAATGATGGTAATCCCTCTCTCTCTCATTCAGTCCCTCTCCATCCCTCTATCGCACACCATTACCCCTTTGCCTTCCCTCTCTCTCTCTAACCTGTACACTTGCTTGCTCTCTCTAGCCGACAGTCTACATCTGTATTTCTTACACCTTCACTCATGGCCTCCTCCCCTCTTCTTCCTTCCTCTTAGAAAGTGGCTGATCAGCCCTGACAGGCAGCGCTCGGCGTCATGGGACTCTTTTGTGGATAGAGGGCCACAACTATATCATATCGGGGCCCTCCTGTAGCTCAGTTGGTAGAGTACGGCGCTTGCAACGCCAGGGTTGTGGGTTCGATTCCCACGGGGGGGCAGTATGAAAAATGTATGCACTCAATAACTGTAAGTCGCTCTGGAAAGAGCGTCTGCTAAATGACTTTAAAAAAAGTAAAAATAATGTGGAGTAGAGAGTTGCGTACACCTTGCATTTCTATCTGCAGTGTTCTGAACATCAAGCCAAACTGAATAAGGCCGGGATTAAATCAGATTTCTGGTAACAGGCAATGCAGCCTTTAATAAAGGCAATGTCCAATTGAGCTGACATATGCAGCGTTTACTGTGAATGTGATCTCCGCGAATGCGGGAACATTGCCTTTAAGACCGCAGTGCCTGCGGTTGTATTGAATCCCGGACTAATTGTTGAACTGAGTTACACTTTTGTAGAGGGTACTATATTTCTACATGGAGCATGGCTAATAATATAGTTTATTCTAACAGTGAGATCAGATTACTAATAACATAATCAACATGCTGTCCATCCAGGGGTGCTGCACCACTGCTTTTTTGGAAATAATTGTTTATTTATTTATTCAGACGAGACAAAACATTTACAAACAAGATACATACATACATACATACATACATACATACACACACAGACAGTGGCGGCTCCTGAAAAAATTCTCAGGAGGGGCAATTTTTCTGATGATTTAGGTGACCTACACACATTTTAAAAAAGATATGTCCAGCAACAACATGAAGACAGGGGCAGCATATAAGTCAATACCAGAAGCATTTATTGACTGATCTCAAAAGTGTTGGCTTACAAAAGCAAAATAAGTTATCACAGTAAAAATAATCAAGGGTGTTCTTTCACATTCCTCAACACTGCATAAACAATATGTATGGCTTTGTAAAAATGAACAACCATATTCTGGCCAATTGTATAGATTTGTAAATATGAACAACCATATTCTGGCCAATTGTATAGATTTGTAAAAATGAACATGAACAGATTTTTTATTTTTTTGAATGGCAGTACCTTTCAAACATGTCTGCTTGCAGTAAGGTAGCACTCACAAGGTGGCCAGAGAAAGAGAACCTTTCTTTGGTGTGATCCAGGATGGTGTTGCAGACCTCTTCAGACAGCCTCTGCTTCTCCTCTTCTCTCAAAGCTGTTCTGGGTCTTTTGGCTCCTGTTGCTTCTTGCAGCTGCTGTTGAGAGGAGTCCCTGAAGGCAAACAGACCAATGTGTTTGTTGGCTTTGTACAGTATTGTTGTCTATGTGATGCACAGGTATATGCAATGTATCCATGTATAGTACAAATACTTCAGTTCCACTTAAAATGGGCAGGGATGCATAAAGTCTTTAGTGTTTAAGTTAGCCTTTGTGTCTCACATAGCCTGGATGTTCAGCACAGTATACAGTGGTGCTCATAAGCTTATGATCCCATGCTAAAGTTGACTAAAAAGAGGAATAAAAAAGAAAAGAAAATTGGTGTCCTTAAAGGTTGGATTTTCCAACTTTTTTAATTAAGTCATTAAGATCAATTTCCAAAAGATGATTTTTTTATTTTTTTATTCCTCTTTTTAGTCAGCTTTAGAATGTGTTCATACACTTATGAGCACCACTGTACAGTACACATAGTATATAAAATAAGATAGATTACACCACTGGCCATATATAATGACAATAATGTAATTTCAAACACAAATGCAGTCTCCTTTCATGCATACATTTTCAAATAAAGCTCTGCTTTGAGAAAGATCGAATGATATTGTTTAATCTTTATCTTACCTTATGGCCTGCACACTGCTTGCGAAGCTGTCGAGGGCACGTTTGATAAAGACAGCATCGATGTCCTTATTCTGTAGCTTCTGGTACGGTGGGCTGGTCAAATGAACCCAATGAACCCGTCCGGATGGCTTCAAAACATTCTATGAGGTCGTCTCGATTCTCGTAGACAGTGTTCACGACTCTGCTGTTGCTAACCTCATCGTTGTGGCGGCGGACAGCTAGCCTGTATCCCTCATCCAGTTGAGTGGCAATATTCACTCTCACCAAAGCAGACAATCTCAAACAGCTATCAATGTGGGTCTTTGACAGCTCATTTTTCTTAATGTTTTCTGAAAGATGGTGCATGTCGGTTACACCAGTCGCTGTCCAAGCGTTGCTGTCTGCCGTTCATGGTTACGTTACGTTATGTATGACGAAAGCGCGTAAGTGCAAGCCCTCAGACACCCATAGAGAATGTATTGAAAGCTCAGAAATTTGAAAAAAAAATATTTTACATTAGAGGCTATGAGAGACTTCTGGGCGATTTTCAACCTGACTGAAATCGCCCCAAAACGGGCGGGGACATTTGAAGCACGACTTTAGCCTGATTGGACATTTAGTGGCTGGCAGATCAGACGTGAACACTGAACTACTGTTGCCATGATATAATTGATTAGAAAAAAAATCCCTTCCTTTTCCCGTTTGGCAGTGCGTCGCCCATATCGCCCTATTGAACACACCGCCCATGCACACAGACATATACAGCCTAACATCAACATTACTTTCCTATCTCTATTCCCACTGACCCCATCCCCTCTAGAGGTAGGCAGGTCTATAGGCCTACTGAATGACATTTCATCTAATAGACAAGAATAATAAGAGAAGACAAGCCTTTTCTATTGTTTTGTGTTAAGCAAGAGCCTTTCAATTGGGTTGGTGGTTGGACTAGTCAGAGGTTGACCAACGTTTTTAGCCAGACAGCTCTGCAATTGTAGTTATTTCCCAAACTGTCTTGGGCAAATCCTATTTTACGGAAAGATGTTCAAAGTTCTATATTGAAAAGACGGGTCTAGATGCACAAAAGTTGCATTGTGGTCTGATCGTGTTCAGATCTGGCCGACCACTTCAAGAGGGGGTCAGGGATGCATTGTGTGCTGATTTTTCCTCCGTCTGGATGCAAATCAGGCTACCGAAAGCGCATGAAGTGGGCGACGTCATATGCACTCTGCCCATAAGTCTCCAGAAAATGTGTGTTTTGGGAGTGAGAGGCGCCTTTTTTCATTAAACGTTGGAGGAAATACAGTGGGGAAAAAAAGTATTTAGTCAGCCACCAATTGTGCAAGTTCTCCCACTTAAAAAGATGAGAGGCCTGTAATTTTCATCATAGGTACACGTCAACTATGACAGACAAAATGAGAGAAAAAAAATCCAGAAAATCACATTGTAGGATTTTTAATGAATTTATTTGCAAATTATGGTGGAAAATAAG